TTTAAACATAATTTGTTCATCTTGTTCCAGGGATGTTATATGTTTGGGGTTTTTTCATTCATAATATTACTTGCATGACCTGTATGATACCAAGCTTCAGAGCTTCTTCAGTGATGGAGCCCATTTGAAGCCTGTAAAAGTGCCTCTGGCTCTTAGGTTTTTCAGTATTTGAATTTCGTTTTTCTGTAACATTACAGGAATCACTACTCACATGACTATTAAATTTTAGTGTACTACTCAAAGCTTTTCTTCTACACCTGATTAAGAAGCCTCCAAAAATTAGGGATATTATAGTCTGCCAGTGCTAACAGCTTAAACAGTTTTTCATGCAGCTCTCATTGAAAAGCACAAGTCTCCTCTTCCTGTGTGAGAACAGAAAATATTTTGGTTTAGTCAGATTGTTTTATGCAGACTTGTACTCTGCAGTTTGCTTCACTGCATGTTTCCTCCTAACTGTGTAGTAAATGCATGTGCAGTAACCCAGTCTATGTCCAGACTACATTCAATCTGAAGTCAGGTGCCTGGAACAAAATCATCATCTCTCTATTTGGTCAGGTAGGTGGATACAAGGTCCACCATGAAAGCAGTGACAAGTGATTTAGAGCCTCTACCAGACAGCAATACCTATCCTTCGTAAATATGCAAGTGTCTTGGTCCCACTTGGGCTTTTGGCCCATGCCCAGTCTTGCACCTCACTGCCCCAGCCTCAAGCATTGCCAAGCTGTTGCCTGGCTTGAGCTGGGGCTGGCCCCATTGCCACAGGCTAGCCCAGCCACCACTGCACCCAGCTGCCATGGCTGGGCCTGACTGGCTCTTCTCATTGATCATGCCCTGACCCTGTGGCCACCTTCACTCTGATCCCCTCCTGTGTGCTGCGCATCCCTCTCCCACTGCTCCCCAACGGCTCTGCTTTGAACAAACGTCACCACTCATGCGCAACTCATGTTTAAGGATACTCCAATAATATGTCAAAAATAGATACTTATTAATTAATCCTTTGAGTTTCTTAAGATTTTCGTTAATTCTTGCATCCTATAACCTGTAAAGAAATCTTCTTTGCCTGGTAGCATGCTCAGGTTGGGCAGGAGACTCAGGCATCACTTTGCCTAACTAGCTTACATCTTCATTGTATTTCTCGTGGTGTACATATGGAGGATAGCTTCACTATTTTCTCAGTCTAAACGTACCTCTAGCTCATTAATTTTGAATAGATGACTTCCACTAGACTGGATTCTAATTAATGCTTGTGTATGTGTAGTTTGGATGCTCTTTCCTGAGCTGCCCAGAGCTTCTGATTATAAGAACCCAGCATTAGAACATCATCTTTGTAAATGTTTTACTACTTTTGCTGTCAATTTTGCTTTTTTTCCCCTATAAAATCTCTCAATGAACAAGCACAACACAATGGTACCGTGCTGGGAAAGTTACCTGCCAAAGGGAGCACTACTTGAGCACAAACATACATTCTGTCTTCCTGGGGGGCCTTGTCAAACTCTTCTGACACATCTCATACTGAAAAATGTTTCTCAGCAATATTATCCTCCAACGTTTCACCCTTGATAGAAAGTGAGAAAATACGATAATTCTTTTCATTTTCTTATTTTCTATTCATAGAGATTCTTTGCTTATCTAGTGGTGTAGCCAATGACATCTCTGCAGTTTTTCAAATCCTAGTGCAGTAAATTTACCCACTTCTTCCTTTGGGCTTTGTTCTACAGTGAAGAATTCTGGGATGGGAGGTTCCTCCAGCTCTTTAGTGCTCTCGGTGGATTGGCACATTCAGTCAGCAGCTCTCTTCTTCATTTTCCATTCTTGATCTGATTACTGATTGAAGTCAGCTTCTACACAAAGTGCAGAACCCCCAGTATTTCTGAACTCCAGATTCACAGCTATCTTACTCAGCAGGAACGGTCTTCAAATGATTACAAGAAACCTTGTAATCATTTCACAACCAATCACTGTCAAACATAAGGCTCCACGTCTGTGTATGGACTGAAGTCATGTTTAAACTGCATTTTGCTGTCTTTTGCACTTTCAAAAAATTTCAGTTCTGTTTGCATTTTCAGCATTTTATTTTTTTTTGTGCTATGAGATAATAAATGGTAGCTTTATTTTAAGTGTGTGCAAGAAATTTGCTGTTCTCTGTCCCATTCCAACTTGCTGATGATAGCAGCAACGTTACATCCAGACTGTCAGTTTGAAGCTCAGGCTTAGAGATTTCAAGTTCATACTCCTTGACTGATCTCATTGCTCATATGTTGAGCTCAGACTTGGCTTGAATCTGGAATTGCAAACCAAGGAAAGGACTTGCATCTTGCTTTTGCAGACAGTTTAGATTGGATGAGCTTAAGCCAAATGAAATTGCAAAGAGCCCATATTCTGGCACAGTTTAATTAAGAAACAGAAGATGTAAAGATCCAGCCCAAACTCTGAGAAACTCTGGCCTTTTAGGCATAGTTCCCAGTAACAAGCTGTGCAGCCCAGAGTACAGGAACATGTGGATTTAAAGATATCTGCTGAGTTCTTACTGTTCTTAGCAGGAGAGTCTGTTTTCATGGGTGCAAGCTGCCATAAATTAGAATGATGTCACTGAATTATTATACCAAATATGTCATTAGTTCAAGGTTAGATAAGCACAAAGGAAGCTGACTGTAAAATATGGACGATGTAATATAGTTCAATTGAATCAGGCTCATGAACAGTCTTAGAATAAATCTTACTTCATACAAGGTTTTTTTTAAAATTTTATCCACTAATTCCTTCCTTAATATCTGAAAATTTTTCAACCTGTCCCATTATGACAATACCATAACCATGTGTGTGTGTGCATGTGTGATTACATACATGCATATATTTGTGTATACACGTTAAAACCACACTAAGAAAGTTCAAGTGGACTTACCCCTCTAAGATGAATCTAGACTTGAGGAAACTACTTTTTTTTCTCTACCTTGCTGAAAAAGCTTTCACCTCTACATGTTAGGAAACACTGATTTATATGCTTTTACATTGTCTTATCTCTACCCTGAAAATTCTGTAAGATGGGAGCGGAAAGATTCGTCAAAAGATGACCCAGTCTGTCCCTCTGTGTAAAGGTAGCAGTAATAATGTTTCATTTTTCATAGGTTGTTACCTAACTTGCACTTTAAGACCGCTAGCAATGCTGGCTGAACAAACCTCCTTAACCAGTCATTCATAATCCCCTTCCAGCTGCCTGAAATTTTCTTCCCTAGTATCTAACCTGAATCTTTCTTTTGGAGTGCAGGACCATGACTATAGACATGGACATCAGAGCATTCCTTCCTCATTGTAAAAGCCTTTTACTGTCTGGTATCATGCTCCTTCACAAAATCTTCTAGAGACATTAAATAACTTTCAGTATTTCCTCAAGTTTTCTAGAAGTCTCTCATTGCTGTCCCTTCCAGATGGTTTTCAGCTGCTACACACTTTTTGAAATGCAACACAAGTAAATGCAGGTACAGAAGTTCATGAAGAACTAAGCAATCTTTAATCCTCTATTAACAGTGGTAGCGTGTCATTCTTCTGTTACACACTGTGTTTATGTAGCTACACAATTTGTATTTTTATGTCAGCACTGAAGTGTGGATAAACCCTACAGGTAAGTAAATAGAGGACTTCTAGTGGGACTTTGAATCATATAGAACTTTACAGCTAGATGAAGTATCACACTAACATTATCAAACCAACTAAGCATGAACTGAAATTAAGACAATAGGATAATTTTACTGTCTTATTTAGTTGTGCTAATTCTAATAAGCACAATCTAATTTTGTGTTTACCTGTTTTCTTTCTAATACCTAAGTGTATAAAATACACAATAGTCGTTCATCTGTCCCATCATTTCATGTCTATAGCTACTTACTGTAGCAAAGTGGGAAGCTCATCTACTTAATTGAAAACCTCTATGAATATTGAATTTATCCAAAAGTAAAAAAAAAAAACAACATAGAGATTAAAGTATATTGTGGGAATAATTTATCTATAGTCTTTATGAGCCAACTACTCAACTCCTCTCCTAAACTTTCACAATAGAAAAATGCTGATACTAATGACTTTTTATCTTCTGGAAACTCTTCCTCCTTCTTATTCAATACCAAATGCTGAAACAGTCCCAGTCTGCTCTGAGATTATACAGAAAAGCCCTTATCTGTTTAAAGATGGCAGAGATTAGTGGATATATCAATTCTACCTTGTAAAACCTTTCCTGTCCAATAAAAGACAGCTAGAAAAAAATATAATGTGGAGTTGTCTTTAACACAGTGAATGAAAGTAACTGGGAGGCACAAAGCTGTTCCAATTGCAAAGAGAAGAAAAACGGTAGTGTAGCCAGCAACAGATAATCCATATAGTAACTGATAAACCGTGGATAAGAGAGGAGCTCAAATGGAATCTAAGAAAAGAATTGTTAAATTCATTGCAGCCCTCTACTGTTTGTTACAAAATCATGGCTTGCTGACTGTGGTGGGAGAGAAATGAGAACACTATCTCTTCTCGTCTGTGGCTCTAAACCAAAGTAACTAAAGCTCTCATACAGAGGAATGTGAATTTACCTTGGCTCTATTTTCACAGTTCCCAGATGAGAAACAGTAATGACCTTAAGGAGCCAGCACTGTTCCCTTAGTAGTCTCTATATTAGGTATTTGAAATATATTGAAAATTGAAGTGATAAGATTACCTCCCACTTAAGAAAACATACTGATTTTTTTAAAACTATGAGCAAAATTAAAGATGAATTTAAGAAAATTACTTATGGCACAAAAAGCACATTAACGCTGCCCACATCATTATTTATAGAGAAAGGAGGCTATTTTGGCTAAGGTGACAAATTACCCTTCCACGGCAGAACACAAAAAATAGTTTACAAGTTCAAGCTGTAAAGTTATTAAACAAGACCTGACTGTACTAAGAAATGCACAACAAATTAAAAAAGTCAATTTCTTAAATTAAACGGCAAATCAGCAAGTGGATGAAGGACTGACCTTGGATTTGGGTGGTGCTCGGATGTACCATTTACAGTCTACTGCTTCAGCTTCAGAAGCTTTTCCTTCTTTGACAATTTGTACAGATTCCACAATTCCTTCAGGTCCTCCCATCTCAAACTCACAAACTGAATAACAAAATACCAGAAAAAATGAAACCTGAACGCCAAACAAAAAAATTTTCTACAGCAGAGTTCAAAGGCCTCCAAGTTAAAAAAAGAAACAAAACAAAAAACAACATACCAACCTGGCAATGGTTTCAAAACACCAAGGTCCTTAAAATCTGGATCTTAAAAATTGAGAAAGAGAAAATTAGTTTTGTTTAATATCTTGGTTATAATGTCAATGTGCTAAAATTTGACAATACACTTCAGTGATATAATTATACATATATTTCTTGGAAATGAGAAATGTTTCAAAACTATGGCAACACACTATTAATGTAGAAATTATTGATACTATCATAGCAATTTCTTTTTTTCTGTCACAAAATCCTGCTTTTCTCTGTCTCTTTCAGAACAGTGAGTTCAAAAATATTTCTGAATACACTAGTAAGCAAGAACATCACACAGCTAACCACATATTTTAATACATCAGTCTAATGAAAGAAGATATATTTACAGATCCATTCAGAATCCTTTTGCCTATTTTGCATTTTGCAGTGTAACACTCAACTTAACTAGAGAAATCTAAACCATTCTGTGTTTAAGAGCACTCCGCCATCCCTACTGACAAAGACGAAACTTTTTTTTTTTTTTTTTTACAATTGATAATTTGATAATTTTGATAGTTGATACTATCTGGTCTTCTGAAATGAATGATAAACAGTCGCATAAAAACACTCTGCATTAAGCTTCTCCTGAGTCACATACATAGCGCCTAAGCCTCAGAAGGATTGCACAAGAGGAAAACCAAGGTACAGTTTGAGCCACATAGTCTGATCTTATTGTTTCAGGATTGGGTCAGTGTAGAAAAAGCTATAAATACAACAGTGAAGAAAAAGTTGGGAAGTAGGAAATGTATCAAATTAAAAAAACACAGCAACCCACCACCAAAAATGATGTTCCTGTCAAGTGTTAGTCAAATCAGGACAGTAAGAAACATAACAAAATAATATCCTGAAAATTCTAGTGGTCTATAATCAAGATCAGAACATGAACAGTCAGAATGTGTTGACTTCAAAAACTGGAGTTGTAAAATTACTTTTTTACAACTTTTTTACAGTCCCTCTATAAGCTGCCATTGTTCTTCCCAGTTACCTTTCAGAGTTGCACAGTATAAATCATGAGTAAATACACATGAATTTAAGGGACTGCAAATATAAGTGAGTAGGCAATTAGCATTAATTGTTAAGCAGTTTTATAGATCAGTAGATAGATATGATAACCAACATCACCAAATGTAATTAAATAGTTCAGTTAATGTACTCAGATGTTGATATCTAGTGCTGAAAGCAAGATACTTTAAGAAAACCTACTTGGACAACTGATTCAAATTAATATCCAAACCATGTCTAGTGTAACCGGTACATTTCCTCCTTTTGCTGAGTTTGTAAGGATCACACTGATTTACTGAAAACACTCCACCGCTTTAGCTAAGTACGGAGATCAAAGAAGCAGAAAAAGGTCCTGGCAGGATTTCTCCCATATGAAGGAGTTTTCATATAAAGGAGTGATAGTAGCAAGAATCCAGGCTGAAGTGTAATCTAGACCCACCAAACAATTCTGAAAGTATGTTATCATTCATTAACAGTACAGTAACATTTATAACAATGCACATAAATGTAACAATGTACAATATGTTATTCTATAAATATGGTAGATCTTGCTAAGTTTTGAAAAATGATCTTTTTGCAACCTTTCAACATCTCAAGAGCGATAGTGAAATAAAATCTATGACACCTGAGCTGATACACTTAATTAAATATTAATAGTATATCAATATTATTATTTAAAAAACAACAATCTGTAAATAAGGTATTAGAGACGCTGAAAATTCAACCATGTTTATGTATATTTATCTAGCAAATGTTTGTTTTTAAATAGAGTACCATTAAATGGATTATACTTTAGCAACTCTTCTTTATGTAACTCAATCAAATTGTTATTATCAGTCTGGTTGTCAGAGCTCTGTTAATGATATCCAAACATTGACTGGCTAGATGTTCCAATAGATAGATAGTCCTGATGAAAATCATGGTCCCATTAGGAAAACCTCCCAAGACAGGAAAATTTTACTGTGAAAAAAAAGATTGAGCACCTATAATGAGAGAGGAAAATATGAGGCAATAGACCTTGAGGGCAATGCAATAAATGTAAATTTTTAATGGTGATCTCCTTAATGGAGAAATGAAGTATGTAAAGAGAAAACTAGGAATTTTCATAAGAAATGTGAAAATGTCTAAAACTTACATAAATTGAAGAACTTGCAAGCAAAAGAATTTCTGTGGCTCTTTCCTGAAACACTGAATGTCTCTTTTAAAACCAAACAAAACCAACAAAATAGAGGTTATCTAGAACTTCCCTTTGTGATATACTACATCTTATTCCACAAATAATAGATTCCTGCAATGTTTAGTTACTACAAACTTTTCTGTAAAGTCTCTGTGAAGCGCAGAATTACAATTGAAACTTATGAAATGTAAAAATCTGTGGCAGGTTATTTAGAGCTACTGGCAAACAAACAGAATGAGAAACTTCAGAGTGACCCAAGGAGAAAATAGTTATAACCTCTAAATTCCTTAGTCTGTAAAAAAAAATGCAGCGGATGAGCAGACTGTGAGGTGGACTGGAAACTGGCTGAACAACCAAGCCTGTGATAGCGGTGATCAACAGCACAGTCTAGCTGGAGGCCAGTAATGAGTGGTGTACCATGGGGGTCAATATAGAGTCCGATCCTGTTTAATACCTTCATTAATGATCTGGATGACAAGGCAGAATGTATCCTCAGCAAGTCTGCTGACGACACAAAACTAGGAGGGGCGGCTGATATACCAGAGGGTCATGCTGCCATTGAGAGGGACCTCAACAGGCTGGAGAAATGAGCTGACAGGAACCTTATGAAGTTCAGTAAGGGGAAGTGCAAATACCTTCACACGGGGAGGAATAACCCTATGTGCCAATATATGCTGGGTCGACCCAGCTAGAAAACAGTTTTGCAGAAAATGACCTGGGCGTCCTGCTGGACACCAAGTTGAACATAAGCCAATAATGTATTCTTGAGGAAAATAAGGCCACCACTATCCTGAACTGCTTTAGGAGTAGTGCTGGCAACAGGGTGACAGAGGTGATCTTTCCCCTCTACTGAGGACTGGTAAGGCCACACCTGGAGTGCTGTGTCCAGTTCTCAGATCCCCAGTACAAAAGCGATATGGAGCTACTGAAGACAATCCAGCAAAGGTTCATGAAGTTGATTAAATGATCCTGCCAATGTGTAAAATACCCGAATGGATGGTGCAAAGAGGATGAAGCCAGGCTCTTTTCAGTGGTATCCAGTGACAAAACAAGAGTCAGTGGGCACACACTGAAACACAGGAGGTTGTCTGAACATCAGGAAGGACTTTCCCACTGTGAGGGTGACTAAGGATTGGCACAGGTTGCCTAGAGACACTGTGAAACATCCCACCTTGGAGATACTCAAAAGTTGTCTAGACATGCTCCTGTGCAAGTGGGTCTAGGTGGCCCTGCTTGGAAAGAGGGTTGGAAGAAATGACATCCAGAGGTCCCATCTAACCCCAGCCATTTTGTGGCCCTGTGATTCTGTAAAAACTAACTGGAAATGGCTAATACTGAAATAACTAATCGAAAGACAAATCTAAGGTAATACCAGAGGTTAGAGAAATCTCTATCACAATGGAGACTTGTTTTGGTGGAAATTGCTGTGAATTATGGGAACATATATCCAACTTGCAGAAATGTGTCATATTTAGAACTGATTTCAAATGGATCCACTAAGACACTGTATCTGGGAACTATTCCATACCTGGATCATGGAAATAATGCTACATTTCTTTACTTTTAGTTTCACTGTTAACAAGTCCTTTCTAAGCAGCTGGCAAGCATGGAATTTAAATGTGAAAACAAGAGGACAACTGTAATGAGTTAGGACATCTGATTGCTCAAAAATCTAATGAAATTAAGATGATCAAAGGGTTGGAGCACCTCTGCTATGAAGATAGGCTGAGAGAGTTTGGGTTATTCAGCCTAGGGAAGAGAAGGCTCCAGAGAAACTTTACAGTGACTTTCCAGTACTTAAAGAGGGGCCTACAGGAAAGGTGGGGAGAGACCTTTTATCAGGGAATGTAGCGATAGGACAAGAGGTAATGGCTCTAAAGTGAAAGAGTGTAGATTTGGATTAGATATAAGGAAGAAATTCTTCTGCTGTGAGGGTGGTGAGACACTGGAACATGTTGCCCAGAGAAGCTGTGGCTGCCCCCTCCCTGGCAGTGTTCAAGGCCAGGTTGGACGGGGCTTTGAGCAACCTGGGCTAGTGGGAGGTGTCCCTGCCCATGGCAGGGGGGGTGGAACTAGATGGTCTTTATGGTCCCTTCTAACACAAACTGTTCTATGATTCTGTGAAATAAAGAAAGTTGTAAAGTAAAAAAGGATTGTAGGTTAACTGGATTAACTATTCAAAAAGTATGTAAATTAGTTTGTTACAAGTAAGATGCAGCATCTTATGTGGTTGTGCAGCTGCGGCATATCCACACAGAATATTTAGCCACCTCTGCATACATGTGGTCCTACACTCTCACACTAAATCACTTGTACAGAAAATGAAATTGTTTAAAATTCTATTACTTGAGTGATTTCTGTAAGAGACAGGCAGATAGTATCTAACAGGAACAGGGAAAATGTACAAAGTTCAAACCAGTTACTAGCAATAAGATATTCCACTGGTAAGTATTATTATTTAAAAAAGATCAAAGTTTGAATAAAAAATCCACACATCATCAAAACTTTTCAATTTGCCTTCAAAGACAGATTCCACAAGGCTTTTAAAAGTAATTTAAAGTCATACAGAAAAATTACAGTTACAGATGTACACGTGTGAGTAAACCTCACATTTTATTAATCAATTTCTTTAGTTTTTCACATAAAGTTCATTCAGACACTTACTTACACTGTCAACATCAAGCCTGTTGCTTGTACTGATAGACATATCACTCTTGGAAGTCAAAAGATTTAAGTTAATAGATGTTTCAATATCTCTTTTAAAAAATGGAAGATAGAACTGTTATGTTCCTTAGAATGTGTGGACTAGAATACACTTAATTGCACGGAATTTTTA